ATATAGTCCAACCTGTGCCTAAAGAATCTCAACAATATGCCCAAAAAAGTGATTAATTCAGTCACTGCTCAAAGACTATCTGTGGGGCCTAGAATTACCAGATCTTAAATTTACTAATAAAGTAGTAACCATCAAAATTTGGTTAAAAAATAGAAATAGAACAGATGATTTGAAATTCATGAAATTCATATGGTTTGGGGTGTGGAAGACGCCTGAGTTTGGGGGCATTTAGAAACACTGCAAAGGCCACAACCATGTCTCAGCTGAGAGCAGCCTCTTCTGGGAGCTCCTGCCAGAGGCTGCCAGCCAACGTGCCTCTCCCTGAGCCCCGATCTCAAGCCGCGGCTGAGGCCCCAGAAATCAGTGCTGCCGGGCCTCCTCCTCCTGGCACAGGCAGCAGCTGCCTTCCTTCCTCTCCCCCTCCCCCAACAGGCATTCTGGGGTGGGGTGGCCAGGTGTCCCGGTGGGCTGCCAAGGCCCCTCCCAAGCTCACTTCAACAGATTTCCACAGGTAAAGGGGGTGGGGGAGGGCGGCCGGATGATTGGTTTACTCTTTCAAACACTGGCTAAGAGAAACTGCCCTGGCGGATTGCCAGCCTGCCTCCCCGACTGCTGACCCGTCTGCTGATCTCACATCCCGCGCAGCTTCTTGGTGAGAGGCATTCAGGGACCTGGAACTGCCTTTGGACACAGGGAGGGCAGAAGCTCTTCTCTGCCCATGAGACCACCTTAGGAAACTCGTAATTTGCACTAACCAGGACCTAGCAGCACAGGCTTTATTTGTGGTGTACAGATGAGGAAACTGAGGTTCCAAGAGATGAAGTGATTTATCCAAGCACATGGAGATTAGGTGCTAACGGTACAAATACGATCTCTGCTGACCTCTGGTAAAGACCTCACCATCCCGGCCCCTTCCGAAACGTGGGGCTCTCCAAGGCGGCCCAGACTCACCGGCTTCGGAAGCTGCGTACTCCTTCCAAGTGTCGCGAATGCAACAGCTACGTCTACTTCCAGGGAGCTGAGTGCGAGGAGGTGGGGGGGCGTGGAGGGATGTGAGCTGGCTTCCCCTTCGTGAGGACAGCTGCCATCACCCTGGGGGGTGGGCAGCGATCTTGGGGCTGACAGTGAGGTCCCATGGTCACACCGATGCCCCCAGTGTGGCGAGGCTCTGCTGTGCTGGTCACGACGGCGGCGTTTGTCCTCTCTCCCCAGTGCTGCCTGGCCTGTCACAAGAAGTGTCTGGAAACTCTGGCCATCCAGTGCGGCCACAAGAAGCTGCAGGGAAAACTCCAGTTGTTTGGACAGGACTTCCAGAAGGCAGCCCGGGGCACTGCCGACGGCATCCCCTTGGTCATCAAGAAATGCCTGTCTGAGATCGAAAGGCGCGCGCTCAGGACCAAGGTGAAGGCCTGGGGAGGCTGCCCGAGGCCTGGGGTCGAGGGCAGGCTGGGGAGCCCCTCTGTGTGCTCTGCTGGGAAGCCGAGTGCGGGACTTTGAGTCAGGAGGCGTGGGTTTGA